TTCCACTACTAGAAATATACCCCCCAAAAAATTAGAACTAAGGCACAAATGGAGACTTGTACACCAATGTTTATAGCAGCATTAGTCACCATCACAAGAATATGGAAATAGCCCCAATGTCCAAATGGCTTAAAGTATATAGTTCACACATGGCTAAGAAAAATACAATTCTAAGACTCTAATATACAGTTTCTAGTTAACACACAACTTAGGGTATAGTTTACATATGACTGAGAAAAGACAAATGCCAGTTCATTAAAAGATGTATTTCTCTTCCTAGTAAACATATAGTTTAAGGTACTCTGCATGATATAGAGAAGTTACAACAGGGTCTGAAGGTCAAACAAATATTTATCAGATGGTTTGACCAGTTTTATAGGCTGGAGACTCATGAATGATGTCAGTTTTACAACTATATTATATGTTTGAATAATCCTCAACTTATTAATACCATCCTATCACTAATGGTACTTGAAACACTAGTAGCCTAACTTCTAGCAAAATACAAGCATGACAAACTGACAGACTTGTGGGGGCTACTCATTAGCAATACATGAAAGCCATTAATCGACTGTTTCCTTCCTCCCATCTCTCTTTGAAGAGAGTCAATTTCTCCTCACTTTTTGGCTTCCCAACAACCTCTTACACCTTGTTTGGCTTAGAATAAGAATGAGAAGAATTAGGTTATAGATTCTGTGGCTTAAAAAAATTAAAGGAGCACCTACTTTAAGAGTTATAGCATCATTTTTCAGCATTTCCATCCTACCCTATCCCATCATCTACCTGTTTTCTGGACTGAGTAGCTGAGGCCAAAGTACACAGCATGCTAAGAGGTGAAACAAAGGACTCAAAAACTTCTTTTCCTTTTCTTAACTTTCAGTCATAAAGCTAAAACCAGCTGCTCATAACAGGATAGTTCAATGGTATGAAGACATCAGAGGAAAAACACACTCCAGGAGTCACAAATGTTTACTCCAACTTCAAAATTATCTTAAACTCCATAAATGAGAGGTAAAAATGGGAAAAGAGAAAAGGAGATGGTCAAAACAGTCCATGGGAAGCAGGATAGCTAGTTACTAGGTTCAGCACCAGAATCTTTGAAAGTTGGATGAATCACACAGAGCCCTTAGGAGAAGCATTCCACCAAATTCCTATAATACTCAGGGATATTTATGCTATTTACATTATTGCATGTAAGTCGTAGAAACAGACTATGGAATAGATGATGTTGTTGTTAGGTGCTATTGAGTATGACTCACAGTGATCCTGTAAACAACTGATCAGAATCCTGTGCCATTCTCTCGATTTCTGACACACTCAAGTCCGTTACTTGACACAGTCACTGTGTCAATCCAATGGTTAAAGGTCTTCCTCTCCTTTGCTGTTCCTCCACTTTTCCAAGCATGATATCCATCTCCAAGTAATCCTATTTTTAAAATGAGGGCACTTTGGTGGCTTAATGAGAGGGAGTTGTGCTGACAACATGAAGGTGCATGAATGAAAGATGGACAATCTTCTCCCATGCAATTTATTGTCTCTGAAAACCCACTGGAGGATCAGCTATAAGTCACAATTTGATAGTACACAAAAACATAACATTTTTTAAAATTAAAAAGTGATATTTAAAAATCTTTAGTAGTTTGTCTAAGGTCATACTTGTAGAATAGAGCTGATACTATGAACCCACATGTGCTCAGTTCTAACACTACCACTTTCAGAATTAATCCAGGAGCCAGGTTCTTGATTTTTGAGTCCACTCTTTAAACAACATACAGATAGCTGAGCTACTAAGAGTGAGAATACAAATTTATCTGTAAAGCCCTTATCATAGTTAAGCAGGTTACCTACTTGATAAATCACAGAGGATTTTTTTAGAGAGGACATTTGTGGGTCAGTGGTATAATTCTGAACTTTCATGAGGAAGATCCAAGTCCACTTCCTGGCCAACATGCTTCACATGAAGTCAGCACCACTCTGTCAGTGGAGGTTTTCATGCTTGCCAGAAGTGAAGAGGACCCAAAGCCTTTGCTGCAGAAGACTAAGGACTGTAGTCTTCAATATGGATTGAAGCTCAACATCAAGACGACAGATATTCTCACTATTGGGACAACTGGCAGCACCATAATGGACAGAGAAGAGATTGAGGTAGTTAACAATTTCAGCTTACCTGGTTCCACAATCAACACTCTTGGAACCAGCAATCAGGAAATCAAAGAAATTGTATTGGGGAAATCTGCTGTCAGGGACTTCTCCAGAGTGCAGAGGAGCAATGACATCAGTCTAGAGACTAAGGTGTGCCTGATTCAGGCCATAATCTTCACAATTACGTGCTATGCATCAGAGAGTTTAGCAATTACTAAGGATGACAGAATTTATGTCTTTGAGCTGTGGTAGTGGTGAAAAGTATTGAACATACTATGGACAGCCATGAGAACAAATAGGTTTGTTTTGGAGAGGGTAAAACTAAGTTTCTCCTTGAAGGCAAGGATTTTGAAGCTCCATCTCATATACTTTGGGCATGTGGCCAGAAGGGACCAGTCCTTGGAGAAGAACATCATACTTGGAAAGGTGGAAAGACAGCACAGGAGAGGAAGACCTTTGATGAGATAGATTGGCACAATAACAGGGATGATGGAATTAGGTATGTCAAAGTTAGTGAGACTGGCTCAGGATAGAGCAGGAGTAAGAACAATTATACATAAAGTCTCTAAGAGTCACAGTAGACTCGATGGAACATTCAACAACAATTGTAGCAAATACTGTTGATACAGTGCATAATGTGTTGGACTGCTAACCAAAAAGTCTATAATTTGAATGCAGCAGCCACCACATGAGAGAAAGTTAGACTATTTGTGTCTGTGAAGATTCATGGTCTCAAAAAACTGATGAAGGATCAACATGATTTGGAATCAACTAAAAAAACCCAAACTGGGTTTGGTTTGAGGTTTTAGGTGGTTGGTTTGGGTTTGATGATGCTGGTAAAAAGCTTTAATGGAACTTAAGATGGTATAGAAAGAAAGGTCTAGTGGATCTACTACCAAAAATCAGTTATGAAAATTCTACATATCACAACTGATTATGAGGATTTCATCCTACTGTGCATGGGTCACCACAAGTTAGGGATGACTCAACAGAAGCTGACAAAATACACCTCAGCTTTCCTACTCCTACTTACTGCCAAGTGAACAAACAAGCCTGTCTTGGAAGAAGAGGAAGGAAGATGCCCCTTAAAGGAAGGGATGGGAAATCTTTATCTCACATCCTTGGAGCATGTAGTCAGTAGGTTTCAGTCCTTCAAAAAAGACATCATGCTGGGAAAGGAGGAGAGTAAGAGAACTAGAGGGAAAACCTTTAACGCGATGGATTGAAACAGTAACTGAAACACATAGACTATTATGGAGATTGATTTTGGAATTTAGATGCATTGTTATCAATTGTGCTTAGCCGTACATGTTCATGTCCTTGAAGATGTATCATGGAAGTGTTGCAGCCTAGAAGATACAAATTTAACTAACAAGTTAAAAGCGCATGAGTCAAAAATTGAAAAGCAATAATATTCTGAGTAGAGGTTCTAATAGTGGCACAAATCAAGTTACAGAGGTAAGGTGGTTCGATTGCCATCCTTACTCTAACTTAATTCTTTTTTTTTAAATTTAAATTTGTTCTTAATTTCAGTGAAAATTTACAGAGGCTTTGGATTTCCATTCATTCATTGTTGTAGATTTGTCCCCTCCCAAGGCTTCCCCCCACCAGACATTACCCTCTTGGAAAAGTAAAAGAAAAGATTCTTTCATTATTTTACAAACCCTCCCCCAGGTCCACTCCACCATGGAGCCATCGCTCTAGACTCCTGTCATGACTGAAATACCTAATCACATATCTCTTTTAAACAGTTTTCTCCCTTCTCTGTTTCAGAGCAGCATACATTATTGAACCCATCTTACTCAGTCTCTCCCCAACCCCAAGGACAGTCCCATTCTACAACAGTGGCACCATGCAATCTCCATAATAGTCTATGTGTTTCCTACTGCCAAAGGGGCCCTTTAGAGTAGTGAGAGAAGACCTTCACCCTGAAACTCACAGCGTCCCTTTTCAGCAGGAAGTAGCTAAGAGAATACGCCATCCCCTTTTCCTTATGAATCAGGGTGAAGTCTCTCTCAGGGAGGAGTGATAGGGAATGGCAAGGGACACACTGACAAAGGAGATTAATCAGAACTGGCTTTGACAAGCACTGTGGCAACTGGACAATCAAGACAGACATGGGGGGGAAAGAAGAACAAACTGGGGATGAGGGAGGAGTAAACAGTGCAACAATGAATGAATGAAAACCCAAAATCTCTGTAAATGTTCATTAAAACTAATAAAATTTAATTAAAAAAAGAAACAGTAACTGAATGGGTTTGAGCATATCAAGGATTGTAAGGATGGCACAGGATAGAGTAAGGTAGAGATCAGTCCTTTCAAAGACTCACAATCAACCTGATGGCACCTAATAACAGCAGTGACACTATTCAGAGTAAGTCACATTGGAATTATCACTGAGTTATGTGGTCAATTGAGAGTTTTGCCAATAACTGTCAGTAATTTATCAATCCTCAATCCAGAAAACTATGACAATTACATATATAGTTGTTCTCAATCCATGAGGTAATTTCATGCTCTTTTAGATTCTACTTAGGTTGGTTTCTTTATATCTGTATTTTGAAAGTCAACATCACTAATCTGATGTATTAAGAATCACCAAAAAACTCAAGCTTCTTTAGACCTTTAAAATGGAAGTATCTTCAAATTAGCAGCATAATCTCTACTTGACTAATAAAGAAGACTCTGGTGAGTATGTAAGTCTCCAACCTCAGACCCTTTCTTAGAGAATGACATAGCTCATTTACACAAATAATCCAACAGCCCTAATTCAATACCAGATTCTGTTTTGAACTATTACCATTGTCCGAATGAGCAATAGATCTATAAGACATGGAACTTTGAAAACATAAACTTACTATTGATGATGATCTCTAAGTGCTTCTTGTCTGAAGGTTTCTTGAAGTCTCTTTTTCTCCTCTAGTTTATTGCTCTGAAAGTACAGAGTTCAGAAATTAATATGAGAAGTTTTAGCCAGAAACATAGCTTTAAAACTGTCCAAGATTCGAATTCCATCATGACGTCTATAGTTCAATATAGGGACCTACAAGGGGTCCAAGGTGAGATTCCTCACAGAGCTATGAGCACTTACAACAGAAACCAGGAACTACAAGTAATTCCCATCATTCCTCCCCATTTAACTTGATGAGTAAAATTTTTAAAAAATCAGTATTTCATATTTTTATTCCTTGGTTCAAATGGCAGCAACATTTACGACTTAAGCAGTTTGCAAAATATTTAAATGGAAATATGATATCAAGTGTTTTAATTAAAATGATAATAAATAACCAAATAGTTTACTAAAAATTTACATACATTTCATTTCCCACCAAAGTACTCAGGTAAAACTTTTCAATAAAATAGTTCAATTCTCTTCTGACTTAAAATCAGATACTTAGCATTGCTGAGAACTGAGCAGCATAAATCACTTTAAACAAACCAACCATCCACTTGAATAGATTGTTTTTATGTTCTGTTGAGTTACCTGTGACTCAGAGCGACCCTATGTACAATAGCCCTAAACCCTGCTCAATCCCTTGCCAATCTTATTGTCTCCAATATACCTAACCCCATTACCCCATTGACAGAATCAATCCATCTCATTGAGGGTCTTCCTCTCCTACACTGTCCCTCCACCCTCTGAAGTATGATGTCCCTCTTCAAGGACTGATTCCCCCCTTGCAACATGTCCAAAGTATGTCAGACGAATCTTCAGAATCTTTGCCTCCAAGGAGCAGCCTGGCTTCACCCTCTCTAGGATGAACTTATTTGTTCTCCTAACAGTCCATGGTATATTCAATACTCTTCTCCAGCACCACAGCTCAAAGGCATCAATCCTATCATCCCTAGTCATTGTCCAGCTCTCTGATGTTGCAAAGACATACCTTAGTCATACCTGTATCAGGCATACCTTAGTTCCCAGACTGACATTGTTGCTCCTCAGTACCTTGGAGAGGTCTCTGACAGCAGACTTTCCCAAATGCAATTTGTCTTTTAATTTCCTGGCTTGAATCGATTAGAGTTTAATTTTTTAATCAATTATTAGGAAAGCCTAGAGACAAAGGTGTTCATATTTGATAGTATGATCATCAAGGCTCTGGCATATGTTAATTCAACTTAAAAAAACAAGGAACACTTGCCTCGCCCCACCCTGAAGCTTTCCTTTTTCTTTAACTTGCCTATGAAAAACACAACAAATTTAATTTAATGGGGAGTTGTAGCAAGTTCCATCATATGGAGAGGCATGAAGTTGTGAATGAGTCCCAGAGAGACAGCTGGATTTGCTTTAACAAAAAGCCCTGGTTCTGCCTAGCAGGAAGCCATGTGAAAGGGGAATACATTGCTTCCAAAGCCTGGCATAAATTTGGCTCCATCTTTCAAAGAGGAGGGGGAACTGTTCATGTTGTTCATTTTCATGAAAGACTTCATTTGTACAACTATTTATTCATTCCTCAAGCTGAAAGGAAAAAACAGATTTATGATTTCAGTTACAGAAGAAAAAAATAAGCAAAAGAAATTAGCAGAATCAAAGGGAATCAATTATAATGCACAGCAACTGGATTATTAATGAAACAGAATTCCAGGGAACAAGCTAATAGAGAACTGTGAAACAGAATAAACATGATCTCAATCTCATAAAAATCTTGACTCAGGAGGCTGTAGTAAGTGTCCTGCATTCCCTACCTTCTCAGGTCAGCAAAGGTGAAAACAGGAGAAAGATGGCAAGAAAGTCCCAATGAGGCTGATGACTTTAGGATTAGGAACATACTCCCAGAAAGTGGCAAAGCACACAAACACCAACTAGCCAAAAGTGGCTTCCTTTAGCAACATCAAAAGCTAAGAGAGACGTTAAATGGTCCCTTCACTAATAGATTATCACAGTATACAATGCACACAACAGTCACACGGTAGCTAAATGACATCCTAAAGAGGTCTATTTACTCAACAGCAGCAATCAATAAAGAATTGTTTTCCAACATTCTACTGCCTTTAAAATATGTTATTCAATATTTACCAAAGTGGGTACCTGTTTTCATACACTAATCCAAATGTTTAGATTTAATTAGATTGTTTATTCACTTCAATTTGAACAGAGAGCCAGGCAGTCAGTCAAATGTATAACTCTATGCAAATGAAGTGTGTTAATTCTCTAAGAACAAGGGATCCAGAGAAATGTTATTCGATTTGGGGTACACTTGTAGGGAAGTGAGGCAGAAAACTCCAGCATGCAGTCAAATACAAGGGATTTGTTCACACAGTGAAAATATATATTTAAAAAAAACAAATGAAAACCCCTAGCAGTATTGAAAAGGGAAATGTTAGTGTTAGGTGCCTTCAAGTATGACTCACACCAAGTCCATGAACAACAGACCTGAACGCTGTCCTATCCTGTGTCATCCCTACTATCTCTAATATTCTTGAGTCCATTGCTACAGTCACCGTGTCTATCCAAGGCCACTGAGGGTCTTCTGTTGCTGACCTTTCCTTTTGTTGATCCCTCAACCTTTTCAAGTAGGATATTCCTTTCCAAGGAACAGCTTCTCCTAGCAACAAACTCAACGTCTGGTAGATGAAGCTTCATCATCCTTATCCCTAAGAGTTCCACATCACTTTTAATGAAAAACATGAAACAAAGAGAAATTTCAACAAGACATGTGAGACCTAAATAACTCATAGACATCAGCAAAACATTCTATTGTAGGAGAAGAACCAGTAACTACTCCAGTTACTAAAAATCAAGAAAAGTTCATTTATTCTGGCATGTTGTAGAAAAGGGAAAAAAAGATAGAGTGAAGTGACAGAAGAGTAGAAGAATCAGAGGAAGCTAAATCCCGAACTACTCCAGGTTACAATTTATAGAAAGATACAGGCAAAGTTATATTGCTGAAGTTCCATTTATATCAAGGTAATAATGAAAAAGAGGTCCTATGCATTTGGTTTCTTGCCTTTATCAATAAGAGACAGTCTGATATGAGTGGCAGCCTCATCTTATCAGAGACCAGGATATTCATGTAACACAGAAAGTGGACATGCACAGTAAGGGTTGGTTACAAAAGGGGACTGAGAATCAGAGGAAGCGATCCAGTACAGATTGATAGTGCATAGGAACGTCAATGATGCAGACCACAAACTTTATTTTTAGGGGCTATCTTATTT